CTAACCCGCGATCTTTGAACCGCCTCTGCACTGCTTTGCGATTTCGGTCATCGGATCATCATCCATCATTATTCATGAATCATTAGTCATCAATCTGTTATTATATTAGTTATTATTCTTATTATTATTATCTACTTATTATTATTATTATTCTATCTATTTAAGCTGAACGTACTCACGTGAAGAGATTATCTCCCCGCAGGAGGATGCAGTGAGGCTGGTCGTCGCCCCGAGTTTTGCCCACGGCAGGTTTTCTGAAGGAGTAGATTGACCGTACAACGCACCAGTCTGATGGCTCCAGCGACCGAGTTAGTACGCTCACCACCGCACGCCGTCGCCAGCGAATCCTGCCCCGTAGCCCACGCCTGCGGCACCGACAGCAAAGTCGCAACTCGCAGCACACTCGCGAAAATTGTGGCAGCAACGTGTTTTGATGTCTACGAGATCAGAGCAGACCCCGAAGGAAAAAGTAGCACAAGTGAAAGCAGAGCAAGATGCCAAGAAGAAGCAACAGTAGGAATAGCAAAAGTAGGAAGCAAAGTAGGAAGCAAAGTAGGAAGGCAAAGGTAGGAAGGCAAGTAGGCAAGCAAAGTAGGAAGCAAAGTAGGAAGCAAAGTAGGAAGCAAATAGCAGAAAGTAGGCACAAAGTAGGACAAGCAAAGTAGGAAGCAAAGTAGGACGCAAAGTAGGAAGCAAAGTAGGAGAAGTAGAGCAAAGTAGGAAGCCAAAGTAGGCAAGCAAAGCTAGGAAGCAAAGTAAGGAAAGCAAAGTTATGGGAAGCAAAGTAGGAGCCAAAGTAGGATGCAAGTAGGAAGCAACAGTAGGAAGCAAAGTAGGAAGCAAAGTAAGGAAGCAAATAGGGCAAAGAAGCTAAAATAGGAAGCCAAAATAGAAGCATAGGAAAGCAAAAGTAGGAAGCAAAGTAGCGAAGCAAGTATGGGAAAGGCAAAGTAGGGAAGCCAAAGGTAGAAGCCAAAGTAGGGAAGCCCAAAATAAGGAGCAAGAAGTAGGAGGCCAAAAGTAGGGAAGCAAAGGTAGGAGCAAAGTTAGGAAGCCAAAAGTAGGAAAAGCAAAAGTAGGAAGCCAAAAGTAGGAAGCCCCAAAAGGTAGGAAAGCAAGTAGGAAAAGGCAAAGTAGGAAGCCAAAAGTAGGAAGCAAAGTAGGGAAAAAGCAAAAGTAGGGAAAAGCCAAAAAGTTAGGGAAAAGCAAAAGTTAGGAAGCCAAAAGTAAGGGGAAAAGCCAAAAAAAGTTTTTTAGGAAAGGCCCCAAAAAAGGGTTTTAGGGAAAAAGCCATAAGTTTTTTTTAAATTTTCTCCCCCCTCCTTTTTTTTTTAAAGACTACGATTTCGAATTTTCGGTAAAAGAAGGTTTTTAAAGTTCTTTTCAGTCTTAATTTTGCGTACACGTCTGGATTAAGATATATTATTTGTTGTCCAAAGATATTTACGATTGGTAAAGATGGCGAGAGCAATTTTGTACCAGAAAATAGGGGTATGTGTAAGGATGGGTGAATAAGTGGGTAAATGGGGTTGAAAATGTACGTCAGTAGATATAGTTGTGTCGTTCTGGAGGTCATGAAGGTATTTTAATTGTTGGCCTTGTGACATTTTCGAACTTTTCTCGGAAATAACTTCATTTTTTTCTTGAAATTCTTTGTTTGGATAGAAGAAACTGTATTGATAGATGCATTGAAAGTTATACGATTAAATTTTGATTGTCATAAAAACTTCTGACATTTTGAAAATTGTATAAATCATTGCAACACTATGGGTATTTGTTTATAATGAAATTTGTACTTTCTACACATCCAAATTTCGTTATTTTTGCTTTAAATGAAAGTTAATAGGGTCTGTGCGTTTTACAGCTTTCTGTTAATAACAGTTACTGGTTTCGTAGTAAAACACTAAATCTCAATAAAATCATAAAATTAATAGAAAAAACGCGCATCTGCCGTCATTTGTTCATTTCGTCGTTTGGTTGTGTCATTGTCTCTGGTTGTGTCAAGACCTTCTTCAAGGTCTTGGGTGAGCGAGATCCACCCAAATACAAAAACAAACGCAAAATAACAAAACGCAAATTACTCTTTGTATAATAACCAAATCAATCTAGCGTAAAGTTTCTCTTCTCTCTTGAAAAAAATTGGCAAATTAACAAATGCAAATACAATGATACACTTTTTTACACTTTGAAAACAATATAAAGGGAGCAACAAGCACAGTTTGTAAAGTTCAAGTTACATGCACTTTCTGAGCACTCATTATAACATTCACTGAAATGGAGGCTTGTTGCTCTCTGCATTTACTTTTTACTTATGCATGGTCTAATGACTGCTATTTACACAGGAGGATGTCATGTCAACCACTGCACATCCTCGTTCAAGGGGTGACTTGGGGCACTACGAAAATACTGTCAAGAACCACCTACGTCTTAGCGAACTGGGCGAACTTGATGCTTCCCGCTGTCATGGC